AGGAGGCGAACAGGCCTGATGAAACGGGATGGACCCACTGCTTGCACACATGATGAAGACACCGTGTCGCATGGCCATGGTCCTACAGCACGCCGCGTTTTACCATGTTTCATTTGACAGCCTCCCTGCCGTCAAGGAGCTCCCCAGATGCCCAGAGTTGACTCCCTCTGACCTAAAGAATAATTTCTTAGAAACACGATGGTTCTTATGTATAAAGTAATTACTGCGCTTCTGAGAATTAAACAGTCTAGTGGCACTGGCCATCGGAAAGTCTGAATTTTAATCCTGGCTCTGAGTAGTCTTGGGTGAATCACTTCAGTTGTGATTTTTAGAAGAGCCAAAGGGAAGTAGACACCCAAGGCCAATCAAAGCTCACATGGGATTTGTGCAACTAAGACCTTTTAAAAACAGCCTTAAACCTTTTGGCTCAACCTCTCCAGCTATAAAGTGAGGATAATAATCCCTCTTACATCATGGGGAGGCTGTTATGTACATTAATGAGATAATGCTCATGAAGCACTTTGAAGGTGAAAAGTGCTATGCTGGGATAAGCACCGTTATTATATTTTAAGTTAAATCTCAGGGTTTCAAGAACATAACAAAAGCCAGTCCATATTTTAGAGTAGCACTCTATAAAAACATTTTGGAAACATTTTAATTTACAGAAGTATGGGAGAATAGCCTGAAAAAGTTCTAAATAAAATTTAGCCCACCTATAATTTAATAATCGTCAAACTGATTTTTTTTTAATTTGTAAAAACAATTTACTGCTGGGCCTAGACCCTGAATGCCAAGTTTCAGCCCACAGAGATTTTTTTTTTTAATGGCTGAGTTATAAACCCTTGAAAAATGCTGACAGCCCCTTTACTATAGCAGCACTAGCGGGTGCCCTATAATGAACTTTTAAATGACTTGAGATAATATCTGGAAAGCCAAGCCTGAAATATATTTCTGGTTTTGAGCCGTTGCCAATGCAAACACAACACATCATAAGTCATCTTCATGATTCTAAGCGCATAAATTGGAGACACTGCATATAAAATCCAAATATTAGGTATCCTTCATGGCCAAACTTTTTGCTGGTTTGATGTTACAGAATAGCAACAGCTGTGCAAGGACGAAGTGTAGTGTGTTGCGTGTCTCGAAAGAAGAAAAGTGTGTGTATTTCCACAGCTCCGTCTTGACATTGTTAAATAGGAGCCTGCCCAGTCGCAATAAATCCTGAAGTATTCTACTACTTTTAAGTGGAACCCAGGTGGCTTTCAAAATAAAAGCTCGTCCTCTCTGGCCAAGGAATGTTAATCTCCTCTGTGACCACATGGTTACTCTATCTTAAATTGCCAAAGACACATCTTAGAGCAGTAACACCCTCTTTGCTTGGAGGAGGATTTTGCTGGCCACAGTGAGACCTTTTTTCCCCAAGCACTGCGTGTGCTATATGTTTCTGATTCCACTAGGTGTTTAAAGCACGATGGGGATACAGGATTAGACCCTGAAATGTTCATTTTATGAGAAGAATTGTTGTTTCATTTACCCTTTTCTTTATGCCCTTCTGATCTTCCAGAATATTCAAAGAAAAGCTAAAATTAAGTCTCCATTCAAGCCGTCAGAAGCCTGGAAACAGCTTTAATCCAGGTGCAACAGAGAGGCTGGTGTACCAAGTTACTTCCCGTTATAGACGTGTAACAACACACTTATCTGGAAAGGAACATCTCCAGACCTTTTCTCAAGCAAACCTACAGCTGTGGGGACACCGCTTCCAGCTGCTGGACTGGAGAATAAGTTTAATTCTGGATTTGAAAATTCAAATCTGCATTACAGCACATAAAGCAACCACCTGACCTGGTTGGAGTAAGGCAGTTGGGACACCAGTCTCACGGACTGCTTATTGCATTTATCTTTTTGCACCAAAAGGTTTAGCAGCTCACCGGTTCTTTGTCATAGCATACATTGGCAAGAAAAAATGCAAGAAGTGTCTCAGTCAGTGACTGCAGGACAGATACGTTTAGTGATTGGTGACTTAAAGAGTTGATAACCTTTGTCTAAACAGAAAGAGCCTGTGAGGCATATCAGACACAGTCTGTCCGATTTAATATACTAGTCTGGAAAGAAGCATTTTCATTCATTCAGAGCTTTGGATTATCCACGTTAGTCCAGTCTGATGCTACACTTGGATGTGCCCCGTACTC